TCCATTCGCACTATCTGGTCTCCTACACAGAACTATATTGAACAGGACTGGTGATAGTGGACATCCTTGTCTTGTTCCTCATATCAGAGTGAAAACTTTCAGTTTTTGACCATTTAATGTGATGTTGGCTGCTGGTTTGTCATAGATGGCTTTTATCAGATTGAGATGAAGACCATCTATTCCAATTTTCTGTAGGGTTTTTATTATGAATGGGTGCTGAACTTTATCAAAAGCTTTCTCTGCATCTATCGAGATGATCAAATGATTGCTTTCCTTGGCTTTGTTAATATGGTGTATTATATTTATTGATTTGTGTATGTTGAACCATCCCTGCATCCCCAGGATGAACCCTACTTGGTCATTGTGTATAATCTTCTTGATGATTCGTTGCATTCTGTTTGACAATATTTGTTGAGAATTTTTGCATCTATGCTCATTAGGGAGATTGGCCAGTAGTTCTCTTTTTTGGTTGGATTCTTCTCTGGTTTTGGTGTCAGGTTAATTCTTGCTTCCAGGAATGACTTTGGGAGTATGGCTTCCTTCTCAGTTTCATTAAAGAGTTGGAGTAATGGCATTAGATCTTCTTTAAATTTCTTATAGAGTTTGGCAGTGAATCCATCAGGACCCGGGCTTTTCTTTGTTGGTAAGTTTTTAATTATACCTTCAATTTCAGTGACTGACATGGGGTTATTTAGAATTTTTATATCTTCTTGATTCAGCTTTGGTAATTCATATATATCTAGAAATCTGTCCATTTCTTCTGTGTTTTCCATCTTGTTAGAATAAAGGTTTGCAAAGTAGGTATTGATTATCTTCTGGATTTCTGCATTGTGATTTCACCCTTTTTATTCCTCAGTGCATGAATCTGAGTCTTTCCTTTTTTGAGGTTGGCTAAGGGCTTATTAATTTCATTTAACCTTTCAAAGAAACAAGTCTTTGATTCACTGATTCTTTGTGTTGTTTTCTTAGTCTCTATTGCAATAATTTCTGTGCTGGTGTTTATAACTTCCTCCTTTATACAGGCTTTGGGCTTGACTTGTTTTTCTTTTTCCAGAAGTTAGAGGTTCAGTATTAGGTTGTTTATTTGAGGTCATTCTGTTTTCTTGTTATGAGAATTCACTGCTATAGTTTCCCTCTTAGGAGTGCTTTCATTTCATCCCATAAGTTCCAATATTTTGTACTGGTATTATCATTTAATTGTAAATACTGTTTAATTCTTTAATTTTATCTGTGACCCATTCGTTGTTCCGGAGAATGTTATTTAATTTCCATGTGTTTATGGAGTTTTTGTGGTTTCTTTTGCCATTGATTTCCAATTTCATTGCACTATGATCTGATAACATGCATGGGGTAATTTCAATTCCTTTGCATTTATTTCAGCATGTTCTATGAACCAGTGTGTGGTCTATTTTGGAGAATGTCTCATGCACAGCTAAGAAGAATGTGTATTCTGATGTTGTAGGGTGGAACAGCCTATAGACATCTATGAAGTCCATTTGTTCACAGGTTTGGTTCAGTTGTGGTATTTCTTTATAGATTTTTTAGTCTAGTTGATCTATTTCTGATACTGGAGTGTTAAGGTCCCCCATTACAACTGTGTTAGTGCTTATTTGATCTTTTATGTCCATTAATTTTTTTTT